ATCAACCTCAACAACCTGCTCTTGAGTACGATCCAGTTCTATGCCAGAAAGCTAACTGTAAAGCAATACTCAACCCACTTTGGTGAGTCCTATTGCTGCCGTCTTATACCGCCAACTTGCTTATTTTGCATTCATTCTTCCTTAATAGTCATATCATAATATATAAATTCCACCTATTTTTTCGCGTGCGAAGAAACGCTGTGCCGTCCCTAGCTCGTGTTACTTCCTTTATCCATGTTTCCTGGTGTTCCTGTTTCACGCACTTCACTTGTTTCTGCTTACTATCTAGTTATCATGTTTACTGACGTCTACTACTTAGATTGTATTTGCCATTTCGACTAAAATTAGGGAATTGCGCCTTTTCTATCCAAATTTGGAGAACTTTTCAGCCAAAGCTTTCCACGTTTTTCAGCTGAATGCTGGTGAAATGAAATGATAGGAGTTACGAGCAAACTTTCGTGCAAAGTGCCCCATCTCTTATGAAAATTGTTCAATTCAGTACGAAAATCGTCCACTTGGTTTGAAAAAGTCTGTTTTGGCTTAAGAGGCGGTGCTAAATGAAGGCTTTCAATTTTTACGGTATTAGTTGGCTGGGTAGTCCTCGTTTCTCTTTTTGAGAGGTCCACTAGGGAATTTATAGTTGAAGTAGTAAAGAAGTTGTATTGAAGTAGTAAAGAAGTGAAGTAGAGAGTCTCCCGATCCTTTTTGAGATGCTGAACGCATCTACTTCCATTCAAAACCGTGGTGGCTAATTGACTGCGTGGCCTATGCAATCATTCTGGGGCCAGCCGATGTACAAGAAGGTGTTCTTATCCTCCCAGAGGAGTCAGTTTCCAGTTTTCCCGGAGGGTCGAGGGCTTGGTTGGCCTGGGCGGGAGCCAAGCCGGCATTTGACCGCCGGGTAAGTGTGGCCCTTGTCACTACAACACGCCTCATATTATTTTTGGATATCTATGAAAAACTCGAAGATATGTAAGTTTGTAGTGAATTGACAGGAATGATGCTGCATCTGAGTTCGAGTGACTTCGCCTTGAACCTGAGCAGTCGTACTGAGAACATCGTTTTGGGGGTCGTACTGGAAAACACAATTTCACCTATCCTGTGATGTGCCACAATCATATCAGGGCAGCCTTAAGCATCCCTGCCTCAGCGCCTTCTTGTGTTCAATCGCTCAAGTTTTCATGTCATTTCTGGTTTATCATCTATGTCCTCCAGATCTTGATGTGCGTAAACTCTTTTAAAGGGCTTTCCTAGGAGTAGAAAAGATTTGTCAGTCGTACTCATGACCAATAAGAACTGTTGCAGTTTCGTGGATTTCCGAGCGAAAACTTGGGTTTGCCCGTTTTGCAATCAAAGAAATCCCTTCCCTGCTCATTATGCGGCAATAGCTGAGGATAACCGTCCACCGGAGTTGTATCCTCAGTTTACAACTATTGAGTACACGCTTAAGGTGGGTGATTTTCTTTCATTTCATTTGAATAATTTTATTTTTCCCTTTGTCGCGTCGTATTCAATCAAGGATTTATGGAGTCTTGTCGAGCCAAGAAGCGATACCAATCAAGTTCAACCCGACAGTTGGAATCAGCGAGTGTGCCAAATACCCCTCCCCCTCCATGCCCGCTATCGCTAGAATGCACCACCTTTTCTCATTTGTGTACCGGAAGTGCGTCTTTTAGAATCTTTCGGCGCTTTGTTTGATGGTGTTCATCTGCCACGAGTTTGTTGGAAGGACGCTTAGTTTGACGCATGTTTCGGTCTTTGTGTTGTTTTCAGGGGTTAGGCATGGAGCAACGTTTGGAAGATGCTTACATTCCCTTCCAAAGCCTCCCTCGCTCATTTCAGGAAGGGGAGCCATTTGGCTTGGAGGAGCATTTTGTACGCTTGTTTCTTTTGATAGTTCCAGTTCAAGAACACCAAAGTGAGACCCGGTAAACTCCTGTGAAGCTGCGAAGTACTGCGAGTGAGCTACTTTGGTCACAGGAATTTACAGATCCTCAGAATGTGACCTGTCCAAGCTTCGCTGAGTGCCTTTCGCTGCCCGTACCAAGTCGAACTCGCTCGTGAAGGGAGAAATCCTCGCCCCTCTGAAAAGAGAGAGAAGTGGAAACGTTGGCCAAAAATGTCCATCTAATTAACTATGTGGGATAGCAGCAGACACAGCTTTTTGGAACTTTCTTAAGTCCAAGATTTGGCTGTGATTACACTCTAGTTCTCTGCGGACGGTTGGGCGTGTCAGCCAGTATGAGTGTGTCACCCTATCAGAGCCGTTCTCTGCCTTCTTGTTGAAGAGCGCATGCGACAAAAAGTGGTAGAAAACGAGTAATACGAAGCATATGATACAGTATTGTCACTTGCCCGCT